GAGACAGAGACAAACACACTCACACACACACGCACACACACATACACATACACACACACATAGAAGGAGAGAGAGAGAGAGATAGAGAGAGAGAGAGAGAGAGAGAGAGAGATAGAGAGAGAGAGAGGGAGAGAGAGAGATGACAATTTAAAGATAGGAGGGGAGTGTTCTAGAAGAGGATAAAGGTTGTTGTTTTTGTTTTGTGTCGCAGCCAGAGAGTTCTTGCTACTAGTCAGATAATAGAGCTTTGGCTAGCAATTTGTCAGAAGGCTGGAGGTGAACGTTTTATTGAGATTTCTTTCTCTATTCCTTAGATCGTTTGGAGATTTGGCTGAACAAGTTCTTGGATAAATTGTTTGATAATATTTTTACGCAATTTCAAAAGTTTCCAACAGTGCGTAGTGTTTTGATTTCTCAGTGGGGATAAGAAAGGCGGTGAGTTTTGAGAGTCCATTTCATATAACAGCATTACTCAGAGTAAAAGTAAAAGAGGTAAACTTGCGCGCGAAAACAAATGTGAAATGTGGAGTTTTAAAAAAGTTGTTTGTGTTTTTCCCCAAAATTCCGTCGACAACAAATTACGGAAAAAAACTCTAGATCATGTTCATGTGTATTTGTGTGTGTGTGCATGTGTGTGTGATTATATGTGTGTATATGTTTGTGTGTGTGTATGTGTGTGTTTGTGTGTGTGTGTGTATGTGTGTGTGTGTGTGTATATATATATTATAATCCCAAATGTAGAACTGTTCATAACATAGATTACACTGATCTTGTTACCAGCCACTGTAATACAATTGAAGTGAATAAGATAAGACACGTTACGACATGATGCGATAAAATATTATGACAATCTTGATTGTCCTTCATTTACTGTTTGTCGACAAGAACGACAAAGAGATAATTCACTCTCAAGGAGGAAAATAAAACCCAGTAATGGCATCATATGGGCCTTTAGAAATTTCTTCCAATTAATATAAATCGCTTTAAATAAGATGTACTTCGTTGTCGCACGTAGGAGACCCAAGTTCGATTTGCGGTCGGGGTGAATTTTTAACGTTTATTTAGGTCTTTCAGCTTGGATGTTGCATCCCTCTCAGCCCGGGTTGACCCTGAAGGGCAGGGCCAAAAGCTGCCTCTTAAATTGTGTCAATAGGAGTATAAAATCATTTACATAAAAACAACAAGCATTGTACCAGTAAGTTCAGACCATTGACTGCATAGAGAAATCAGGGAGTGAAAATGGTATTATTTTGCTTTTCTTTCACGATACATGTTCATACATTCGGTAAAATTTAACTCTAGGCCTATGCTTTTTCGAGTTTCGAATTTCGCATTCCTCCTTTTCTATGTGTTAAACAGAGGTTTTACACACAGCACAACTTTTTTTTTCTCTCTATCGAGTCATACAGATTATGAACGAAAATGCACTTGAAGAAAAGGTTGGCTTTCATTCGGAACTTACTTGACCTATTAAGCACACATATGGTCTCCGCTCTTCATGGGGCAACGAGTGGGTCGCTGTGACGTCATGCACGTGAGATGCCTTTTTATTTATTTTAACTATGGGAATCTGAATACCTTTTTTCGAAGACCCTGAAAGGGAGTGTAATGTAAGATAATTTAGTCGTGCCTAACCCCTTAACATAGCACAATGCAACTGGTAAAAAAATTCACCTCAAGCAATCGGCCAATAAATCAGAGTTATCAGCCCTTGTGTATCTCTTTAATTGTCTTGCGTACATACAGGGCATGGCCGAGATCCGCCAGGTGCCTCTGACTGCAGCAGCGACGGGGCTCGTGCTCTGTTCTTGTTCTGTTTTGTTTCGTTTTATTTTGTTTTGTTTTCTCTGCGTACATATCGTTATTTGTAAAGCGACCTAGTGTTGCGTGTTCGGGGTTATCCACCTTTTTTTTTTCCCCCGTGAGGGTAAAAGCTGTGCGTCCATTGTCTGCATCATTAAGAGGAAAGTGTGCAAGATCTGGATAAGCACACATTTTCTGATTAATCGGATTCTACCAGCTCTCTGTTTAAAAAGTAGGCTATTCACTTCGAAAGGGTACAGAAGTGAGAAAAAATATTAGGTTGAGGAAAATAAGGTTATATGAAATATCATGTACCCAGTTTGAAGTCAACATTAAAATACATTTTCAACAAAACATTTTCATAAGCTGCATTGACTAACTGAAGCCAGTTAATAGCATTTAATTGACTGACTCATATGTTATTCTCTTTCTGTGAAATCTGCACATTTCAAAGTAAATGGCATATCTTCAATTTCTCTTGACACCCCCCCCCACACTCTTTTTTCAATCGTAATGGGGAAAACAGTTTTAAACTATTAATTTTCTAAAAGAGCTGGTGAATAGGATCATCAGCTCGAGAACCAGTAGCATTTTGAAAGAAAAGATTGGGTTTGTTTGATTGTAAATCGGATATTTGGAAACTGGTGAGGTTGTTGACATTGTGCATTTCGAAGTCAGTGGTGAAATGGTGAAATGGTATGGGTTTAACGCCCCAGTCAACACTACTAGGTTATTTAAGAGGTGGGACCTCCGAGTTTAAGGTCCATCTCCCATAGAACCGGGCTAAGTGGGAAATCGTGTAATAAAGTGCCTTTCCCAAGGACACAACGTCGGACCGAGCTGAGGGGGATCGAAGGATTCGCACTGAGAGACACATTTATAGTGCGGTCAAAAATTCGTGGTGCAACTTATCCTCAAATATCTCTTCAACGAGTGAATCAATGTCATCCATACTTTGCATAGCAGTTTGTATCAGTTTGTCTTAACTAAATCATACTTTTCTAGAACAATTGGGAATAGATTTTAAAAAAACTTTTCTTCATAAATTTATATAAAATACTTGAAAATCTCTGTCTCATGTAAAATGGTATTGTCCACAGCCCTTCCTGCTTCTCACACACATTTTGATTACGCATATATGGCCTACGTCACTGCTCTTCAATGACTATTTATACTTGCACAACTTGTCACAAGAAATTATTGTTATAGGGAACACATTTTTGCACTAATGGCTCTCAAAGCATGCGTTCAATAAGAATAATGTTCCGATTAGAAAAACCTGACGGACTTGCTGTTAAAGGCAATATTGCCCCAGCTGTAGACAATTAAAAATATGTAGAAACCAACCACATGGATTTTTAAAAATTGTTTATTTAGGAATTTTCTAGATTGCAGCTTGCAAGTGTTTACAAAAGTGTTGATCTGTTAAGACAAATTGAAACAAGTCACTGTGCAAAAATTGGAGAACCTATGTTCGATAGTTGAGGAGACATTACGCATTTGATTGTAAGCCTACGTGTGTGTGCATGTGTGTGTGGGTGTGCGTGTGTGTGTGTGTGGGTGTGTGTGTGTGTGTGTGTGTGTGTGT